AAATCTTGCCAGTCAAGATGTGCATTGTTTTTACTTTTATTTTGTGAAAGATGTTTTTGTGGACGGCAGCTTTATTCTTTTTGATAACATTGCAGGTATTTCGTTCGATCAGGTGATTACGCGTGCTTGCCAGCGAGATCCAACCTTGAGATACTGCATCGAAGCGAGAGATCGAAATATCACAAGTGCTTCCGGAGGACGATCACAATATGCTTCCAAAAACACTGGAAGAATCTTACCAGAGGTAAAATCTGTTCATTTTCTCTTTGTTTATGGTAGTACTTTAATCAAAGGCTGCTCTGTTGGAATGGCCGAAACTTTCCAGAATATTTTAAGATGGCCCAGACAGATATTAAGAGAAGAGATAAATCATCATGAGAATCAGTGGATCTTCAAGCACTTTTTTTTCTTAATATATTTTCCGAGATGGTTCACCATGTATCGGACAGAAGGAGGGTACAAATTGGAGATATGCAGTCCAAGACGAAAGGTCCGGCGTAGCTATGCCTTAAGTCTGAGAGCATCCCAGCTGCATCACTTAGGATATTCATAGCGACAGCCTGTTCGCTCTTAGTATTTTAGTACTTTTTTTTATGCGTTTTTTGCAGTTATACAATACACAAAAAGCATATTGACGGGACTGTCTGTGTGTCCGTGTGCCTGCGTGTGCGTCTGTACCGATTTTTCATCTTAAGACCTATGAAAGTCACAGGGCAGAAACTTTGGAAACTTAATCTACATGTACGTGTAGGCCCCAGACCCTAAAATGGGCGCCCTTATCCGCGTGGTACCCACGTATGAGCCCGCCAGTGTTTTTTATGGGTAAGCTGCTAACTCGGAAACCAGAAGTGCTGGGAGGCTGAAATTTTAAGGGGACATTTCCCGTCTACATAGACATTAGAGAGCTCAAAACCAGCCCCCGAGCAAGCGTGGTACCCACGTACGGGCCCGCCAAATTTTTTCGAGTAAGCCGCTAACTCAAGAATTTGAAAAGCTAGAAGACCGTAATTTTAAGAGAATATTCTCCGTTCACCTAGGTCTCATTGAACTCATATCCAGTCCCCGGGTAAGCGTGGTACCCACGTATAGGCCGGCCAAAATTTTCTTCGGGTAAGTTGCTAACTCTGGAAAATGAGAAGCTAGAAGACTGGAATTTTGAAGGGGTGTTTCCTGACAGCCCTGGCGACTAGTCTGAAATTTTAGCTACATCAAACATCTGCCGGAAAAACCAGTGCCGTTAGCAACAAAAATCTGCAGGGAGCTATGCAAAAAACGTATCTTCGCACGGCAGCCTGTGCGTTGGCCAATTATTTTTGTTGGTATATATGTTGTTTTTTCTAACCAATAACGCTTAGAACATAAGCCGATTTTTGAATAACTCTATGGCAGGATGATCCTGGTAGCAGAGTTTTCAACCGATTGCTTGCTGATCCAGTAGCTGAAAAAGAAGTATTTCGATCGTCGACGCGCGAACTCCCGCTGCACGAGGCATCATCAGCAAGCACCGAAACTAATGACCCATTCTGTGACGAGGACGAAGATCGTTACAACCACTATTGCCATGACGTTATTGAGCGGTCATCCAGCACTCAGCAGGAACTATTCAAATACTGCATCGACTACGAGATAAAATGCCCACATAAGACTGTCAACAAAAAGGTGCAGTGAGCAAATTGCTAAGATTACACGGTAACACGGGACGGCACTGCAAAATGTTCATCACAACGGCCAAGGAAGTTTCAACCTGTTTATAAGTAATGCATTGTTTTGTAGAACACTGGAGCCACTCGGGCGTACACGATGGTTCCCGAACTGCCTGA